AAGCATGGACAATGACAACATCCGATGAGGCGGCTCTTGGAGTATTCGAGGGAGAGATTTTGCGGACGATTTACGGGCCTTTACGCGTTGGCGACTGCGAGTACCGCAGACGATGGAACGATGAGCTGTATGAGCTTTACAACGACATGGACATAGTGCAGCGGTGATGTCGTTCGACTTCACACCGACGCTCCAGCTCTGAAAGTATTACTACAGAGAATTTATCTTGATAAAGTTATGTTCCAGCATTATAAAATAGCCCACAAAAACTCAAAAAATTGGCTTATTAAAAATATTATCAATGTGTATTTGGAAAATATTTAAACAATGAAATATAGAGATAAAACATATTTTGGTAAACTTTTTACGTTTTGGTGCTCTTTTTGGTATACAAAAAAGAAGTAAGTGGCAACCTTGTATATGAATGAAGCAATCCTGCTTCGTGTACCTATGTACATATATATGTTCATATGGATATACCATATGTACAATGAAACAAGCGGGCTTCGTTGATTTACCTACTGATGGATATATGTATGCAGGAACCGCAATTGCGCATATGGAGACTGTGCATTAATGTAGAGATTATTTCGGTTTCAACTGAAACTGTGCATCTATGCATGTATAGAACCCCCAGAAAAAAGTTCAAGCGAATCGGAGACACAACATATTTTTTTTACGAAATCCGTCCGACTTAAAAAGAATGGCTCATATGCATTATTTCGGTTTTCTAACGAAACGGAACGCAGAAAGAAGTTCTGCACAAAAATTCTTGCGCCTTCAGAACTCTACTTAGTGAGGATTATAATCCCTAGCCTACGCAAAAAGAAGTTCTGCGCAAAAATACTTCCGCCCCCCCCCTTTTCCGGCAACACAGAAAAGAAAATTATACTTAGTAAGGGTTATAATCCCTAAGCGCCTACGCAGAAAGAAGTTCGTTTTCATGTGTGCACTAGTTAGATTTTTGTCATAAGCATTATTTCGGTTTTGAGTCGAAACTGTGCATATATTCATTACTTCGGTTTTTTCATATGCATTATTTCGATTTTGAACCGAAAATGTGCATGTATGCATTACTTCGTTTTTCTTATATGCATTATTTCGGTTTTCAGACGAAAGTGTGCATATGCCTAATTTCGGTTTTTCTAATATGCATTATTGCGGTTTTCAACCGAAACTGTGCATATTTATATGCATTATTTCGGTTTTTTTCATATGCATTATTTCGTATGCACAGTTTCCATATGCACAATTTCAGGGTGCCGTTTTTCCGCCGGGATTATAAAATGTATTATATTTGAAGACGTCCACCAAAATATTTCAGAAAAATATTAAGATTTATGTTAGCTGGACCTATTTAAAAAAGAGAATTTTTTATGAATAAAAATAGTTTCTTAAAGAACTTTTTGAAAAAAAGCCCTCGGATGGCAAAACAGATTAAGCTTAAAAAAGCTGCATAAAAATATCTAAAAATCTTCTCAACGGAATCGTAATAATGTGATTTTTGGTGCTCTTTTTTAACCTTTTTCAAGGATTGATTTACGAAAAACTTGAATAACTACTGGGCCAAAACTATTCTGATTTAGACTTGTGGGGTCTCAGTAAAAATGTATTTTCCCACTCTTTTTATTTCTGTACAAAAAAAAAGAAACTCATTCACATCCCAACTTTTTTTCAAATACCAACACATCTTAATTCAACTTGGAATGACGTTCGATCATCCTACCTTTCTCTTTCATCCTTTGAAAGAGTTTATTAGCAAAGAAATAAAAAGGGTGACAAAATACCTTTCCAATGATACCTCACAAGTTTTTCTTACACCAACCTTTGAAAAAAGTTAAAAAACAGCAGCAGCGGCTGCTTATATGCTATGCTTGTAATAAACATTTAGTATGACGAGAGTACCACACAGCGATTGTATCAATATTTTTAATAAGTTAATGTTTAATGTTCACTGTTCAATACGTTTCAATGTTTTTGGTGTTTTTCAATTTTTCAAAATATTTCCAAATGTCCAGTGTAAATTAAATCTTAACTATGAGTAAGTGCCACAGTTAAAATCAAAAAACCTGTGATTGTCCCTTTGTGTTTGTATCTTCGTTTGTTGTTTTTCAAATATTTAACCTAATTTTTGTAATTATGTACATACGTATATCAATATTTGTCGATAACATTGTTCTTTGTTTATTGTTGATGTCTATGTAAATAAAGATGCGCCCCTGAAGATGCTAAGGTGATTAGCGAAACGTTGGGCAAAACGTGAAGAAAAAAGTGGTTTTCTTGCACACGAAAGTAATCGATCGACTAGCCTACAACAACAACAATAACAAATTATTTAAGCTTAAACCGTCATGTGAGGGGATTTTGTTGAAAAAAATCTTTGAGAAACTTTTTTGATTCTTAAAAAACTCAATTTTTGGAGGTATATCCAAATCGGTCCAGCTCCCGTAAATCTTAATATTTTTCCGAAATATTTAGGTGAAAGTTTTAAATTTTAATAGATTTTATAATTCCAATGGAAACACAGTACCGATTTTTTTTGTATGGGGGGTGATGCAGTCTAATGTACATAATAATAATAGATTGGCGCTTACACATATGTTAGTGTTTGGCCGAGCTTCTCCTCCGATTTGTGGCGTGCGCCTTGATGTTGTCACACAAAGCGGAGGGACCTACAGTTTTACGCCGACTCCGAACGGCGATTGTATTTTTATGAGAAGCTGTTTTTCATGGCAGAAATACACTCGGAGGTTTGCCATTGCCTGCCGAGGGACGACCGCTGTTAAGAAAAAACCTTTTTTCTATATTTTTGCGATGTTGCTTTGACCAGGGTTTGAACCCAGGCATTGTGGAGTGGAAGCGCGCACTGCTTACCACTACACCACAGCGGCGGTCTAATGTACATACATACATATATATGTTTGCATGCTTCTTCAATGTACATTGTATATTTAAAAAAAAATGCGAAAAGAAATTAGAGTAAAAAACTTTGCATACAGTACGAAAAATTCTCTGTGCCAATACTTTTTTTCGGAACTGTACATACACTGCCGGAACAAAGTATTGGCACAGCAAATTTTTCACAATATATGTACGGTGTCCATATTAACCAACGTAAAATAAAGGACTTTTTTTCAAAATGATTTGGGAATACGTACATACAACTTGTATGATAAAAGTACCTTACCTATATTATTTAACTGTACAAGTTCCCCTGCTGTAGCGAAAAATTAAACCAAATCCTTTCCAAGGACTTCGCCATCCTTTGCTACCAAAATGCGTTTATCATAATTCATACTGCACGCCGAAGCCAGCACACAGTGGTACAAAATTGGAATTCAATGTTCATAATCCACTGGAGCCTTCATTTTCCACCAATTTTTACTAAAAACCAAAAAAATATTTATTTTGGTGAACATTTTTTTATAACATTTTCAAATTTTTTTGTATGTATTTTTTTTTGGTTTGGGAGAAACATACAATTGTTTTGAACTAGTCTTTTTTTATGTAACATTTATTAACTGGAACAGGAGAATACATTTTCTTCAAAATTGCTACTTTATCTGAATTTTGCACTAAAAAATTTAACATTATCAAATAAATGTTCAGAAATCAAGCTCAACTGGTCTCTTGCAAATATTGTAAGCTTTCATAAAAAATAAAAATTAATCATATTAAGTGAAAAATGAAGGCTCCAGTGAATTACGAACACTAAATGCCAGTTTTGAANTAACCTCAAAAAAATCACCCGTTATAAAGATTACCGATTAAACAGAAACCCTTAAGTGGGGTGCGAAACAAACTGGCGAAGGTTTTCATTATATTTTATAAGGGACATTTTTACTTTTCATATTCTGCGTTTAAAAATTTATCAACTCTGAAAAATGCAGAGCCGATTTAAAGGACAGTTTAAGAAATAAAGGACAAAAGGCGTAAATATATGCAACAATTTTTATTCTAATATTTTTCCGCCAATTTTGTATAAAAACATGGTTTATTCAACTACAAAAAACATAAAAATACAATTCCTAAACTTTGTGCAGAACTCGCGAAAATTCAGCAAATTTTCATCAAAATTTTCAACTTTTTAACCAGATTTTTTCGAATTTTTTTGAGTATGCAGTTTTTCAGCTCGTTAAATTCTAGTAAAAAAAAATGCAAGTTCGGAGATAGTCAAAAATCGCGCTGATTTTTGGGAATTTTTTGGTTGAAGGTGTTTTGCATTTTTTCCATATAAAGTATTTTCGAAAAAAATTTTGTATGGAAGAGACTGCGTGAAAAAAGATTGCCAAAAAGCAACGGTAATTCCTAGCTACTTAAAACTTGCACTTTATTATAATTGATTAGGTTACAATCTGCATATCCAAAAAAATTTTTGAAAATCGGAAAAATATTAGAATGAAAATTGTTGCATATATTGTGAAAAATTTGCTGTGCCAATACTTTGTTCCGGCAGTGTATGTACATATGTGAAAAATTAAAAAAATTTCTATTTTACCATTCAATACCCATCCTACTATGCAAAACAAAAAAAAATTACTTGGTTTAAAATTTACAAAGCATGTATTTTTAGATTGTATAGAAAAAACGTAATCGTAATTTTTACCCGTAAGACTAGGTTATGTTTCTAACTTTAAAAAACTAAAATCTGGAGGAGCTCCGTTTGCCTTAGTACTCCCAGGGGCACCACGAAAAGAGCCTAGGGGCCCATAGATCCTAAATCCGGCACTGAGTAAAATTTATTTATGCAAACGAATATGCAAGCTGTGAACTCACATGAATAGGAAAAGCCTAGTTTGGTATACATTTGTCTACAGCTGCTTTATATAAAGTGCCCTTTTGTGAGACAAACAGGTTTTTTTTATATTTTTTTTCTAAATCATTTTGTTGTTAATCTAACACCTGCCATCTTACAATTAATCAATAGTTTATTATTGATTTGAATATGGCTGCTTATTAAAGAAATCAATTAATGGTATTCTATTTTTATTTTCGTTTAGGCGCTCAGATTTTTATGACGAAGATGTTTTTATAAATCCCGACGGCACAGAGCTACCTGATGATGGCCATAGCGGTGTAGATAACGCTCATATGGTTGCCAATCATCATGCACTCCGCTCCCGTGACAATATCTACGAGTATCGTGATTCTCCATCATTCAAGACTTTGGGCAGTAAAATCCATATTGAAACAACATTAATTCGATCTCCTAGTTCCTTGGCCATGACACATAAACCAGGAAGCCAGTCCTCTCTGAAATCAGCGATTTCGCTAAAGGAAACGAATGACGGAACGTTAAGTAGCACCTACAGCAGCACACGGCCTTCACGCTTGGGCACAATCAATAATAGTGCTACACCAACTACACAAAAGCCGAAGAGTGTAGAGGAAAAACGTCTATTAACATGTGAGCCACCAACGCCAATATCGAGCGCACCACTTATTGCGACTACAACTACCACAATCTCAGAAACTCCGGGACTTACAAGTTCNTATCAAATAAATGTTCAGAAATCAAGCTCAACTGGTCTCTTGCAAATATTGTAAGCTTTCATAAAAAATAAAAATTAATCATATTAAGTGAAAAATGAAGGCTCCAGTGAATTACGAACACTAAATGCCAGTTTTGAATCACTGTGCAGAAGGGGGTTTATTGTTCTCTTTCAGTGGAACTGGAAACTCTGCGTACAACACGATCCTGGGCACAACTTTTCCTGTGCTTTATAGATTGTAACGGGTGATTTTTTAAGAGCTTGATACCTTTTTTTTTAAAAAAAACGCATAAAATTTGCAAAATCTCATCGGTTCTTTATTTGAAACGTTAGATTGGTCCATGACATTTACTTTTTGAAGATAATTTCATTTAAATGTTGACCGCGGCTGCGTCTTAGGTGGTCCATTCGGAAAGTCCAATTTTGGGCAACTTTTTCGAGCATTTCGGCCGGAATAGCCCGAATTTCTTCGGAAATGTTGTCTTCCAAAGCTGGAATAGTTGCTGGCTTATTTCTGTAGACTTTAGACTTGACGTAGCCCCACAAAAAATAGTCTAAAGGCGTCAAATCGCATGATCTTGGTGGCCAACTTACCGGTCCATTTCTTGAGATGAATTGTTCTCCGAAGTTTTCCCTCAAAATGGCCATAGAATCGCGAGCTGTGTGGCATGNCGAATTTTTTTGAGTATGCAGTTTTTCAGCTCGTTAAATTCTAGTAAAAAAAAATGCAAGTTCGGAGATAGTCAAAAATCGCGCTGATTTTTGGGAATTTTTTGGTTGAAGGTGTTTTGCATTTTTTCCATATAAAGTATTTTCGAAAAAAATTTTGTATGGAAGAGACTGCGTGAAAAAAGATTGCCAAAAAGCAACGGTAATTCCTAGCTACTTAAAACTTGCACTTTATTATAATTGATTAGGTTACAATCTGCATATCCAAAAAAATTTTTGAAAATCGGAAAAATATTAGAATGAAAATTGTTGCATATATTGTGAAAAATTTGCTGTGCCAATACTTTGTTCCGGCAGTGTATGTACATATGTGAAAAATTAAAAAAATTTCTATTTTACCATTCAATACCCATCCTACTATGCAAAACAAAAAAAAATTACTTGGTTTAAAATTTACAAAGCATGTATTTTTAGATTGTATAGAAAAAACGTAATCGTAATTTTTACCCGTAAGACTAGGTTATGTTTCTAACTTTAAAAAACTAAAATCTGGAGGAGCTCCGTTTGCCTTAGTACTCCCAGGGGCACCACGAAAAGAGCCTAGGGGCCCATAGATCCTAAATCCGGCACTGAGTAAAATTTATTTATGCAAACGAATATGCAAGCTGTGAACTCACATGAATAGGAAAAGCCTAGTTTGGTATACATTTGTCTACAGCTGCTTTATATAAAGTGCCCTTTTGTGAGACAAACAGGTTTTTTTTATATTTTTTTTCTAAATCATTTTGTTGTTAATCTAACACCTGCCATCTTACAATTAATCAATAGTTTATTATTGATTTGAATATGGCTGCTTATTAAAGAAATCAATTAATGGTATTCTATTTTTATTTTCGTTTAGGCGCTCAGATTTTTATGACGAAGATGTTTTTATAAATCCCGACGGCACAGAGCTACCTGATGATGGCCATAGCGGTGTAGATAACGCTCATATGGTTGCCAATCATCATGCACTCCGCTCCCGTGACAATATCTACGAGTATCGTGATTCTCCATCATTCAAGACTTTGGGCAGTAAAATCCATATTGAAACAACATTAATTCGATCTCCTAGTTCCTTGGCCATGACACATAAACCAGGAAGCCAGTCCTCTCTGAAATCAGCGATTTCGCTAAAGGAAACGAATGACGGAACGTTAAGTAGCACCTACAGCAGCACACGGCCTTCACGCTTGGGCACAATCAATAATAGTGCTACACCAACTACACAAAAGCCGAAGAGTGTAGAGGAAAAACGTCTATTAACATGTGAGCCACCAACGCCAATATCGAGCGCACCACTTATTGCGACTACAACTACCACAATCTCAGAAACTCCGGGACTTACAAGTTCCAAGCTCAAAGCAGCGCCCACTGGGACTATGAGCAGTCGCAGTACAACACCAGTGCCTAGCGCTCGCAACTACCCGCATACCACCACAGCGACAATAAGCTCTGCACCACAATTGCAACGCTCCCTACTCCCACCCACATCAGCCACTCAAGAAGCGTCACAGCCCCACGCCCGGACACAAGTTATTGAAGGTGTGCCCCAAACATCGGTTTAAGATGCAGCTCTCTAAGTGAGTTAGTGAATGGCATACTCATTTAGAGAGTATACATAGAGAGTTTTCCTAATTTATAAAATAAGGTATAGTTTGTACATTTGTACGTACAGTGAGAAAAAAATCAGCCAAAAATTGGTTAATATTACCAAATTTAAACTTGAAAAGGAATCAAGGTGATTTTTTTGTTTAATATTAACAATGCCATTGGTGATATCAATCACACTTTTGTTTACCTAAAACAGATTTTTGTTGCCAACTTTTTCGTTTGAATACGCTTATGTTTTGCACTTAAGAGATGCTTTTTGATATTTCGGAAACTCAAAAAAAAAAACATTCTTTATCGCTTTAACCATGTTGTCTCCGACGGCATTCTAACTCGAACCTGCTAGAAGCTAGCAAATAACAGCAAACATCTCTACACGATTTGCTCCAGTCAGACATTCAAACGTGTTTTCACATGTTCAACTTTAATCACATTTCTACAATCGTCGACATCGCTGGTTACATATGTGCATCAGTTATGCTCAAAACAGCACCCGCGGGTGAAATTCTTCAAAGCTCTCTGCAGATTTTGGTATCGGCGATGGGCAGAGAGAGCTTTTATTCTGCATGCGACTATACAAAATATATATAAAGCTCAAAAGAGCTTTGCCCGCGGGCAAGGCGGTGCCCATCACCGTTTTATATGGATGCGCTCTCTGAGCATCACTCATATCATATTCGATCGAATCAAAAATAATCATTCAAAAACTCATGAATCTACAAAATCGCATTTTCTGACCTAAATCGATAGGTCGTGACCTCTAAATGACCTTTGAAAATCTATAAAAATAGGCAATAATATTTCCCTTAAAACGATAAAACGATAACGGGTAGGGTCTTGAAATTTTCAAAAAAACACATTTTCGATGGGCACCCTAATGTACATGCATATCAGGGATGCCAACTCATTTTTTCTTTCTCCCCGTTGGCCACCGCGAAATTCTACGATTTTCGGTGGAATTCCCCGGACTGGCATGATTCCATACTAAGAAAACTAAAACTTTGTAGTCCAGTTCCTTGAATTTATTAACGAATGTTGCTATTAAATGAAAAGGAATGACCGTTTGCTACGTTTATACGTAAGCTATTCGTAAAAAAAAAGAATTCTGAAAGTACCTAACTCACTGTTTGTACAAGGGTGAAAAATTCTTATTCAACGTTGCCTGATTATAAAATTTCAATAAAATGATCATCGAAAATTAAAATAAACTTTCTTCCAAATACAAAAAAATCGCTCATAATTTTTATTTAGAAAAATGCATAGAATAGGGATGGGCGATGATGAGAAATCACCGATTTTACACAATATCGATAAAATTTTCACATACGGATTTGTTTCGTGCTCATCAGAAGTAAGCAGTTCTATTGGAAGGGTTCGCGCAATTTTTAACATTATTTCTTCCCACGCATGTGCATGAGTTTCAGATTTGTTAAAAAAAATGCGTGTGTAACCCCGTACACATGATAGAAGTGAAACTACTTAAAAAAAAGGTGTGAGTACCAGGTACCTACTCACGAAATTGGATGATGTGTAAACATATGAGTGCAAAGTGCGCTATGTAAAATTTTATCGATTTTTAGTTTTTGGAGGATTACGTACCAGTATTTATAGTAGTTTCATGTCCACTAACAACACAGTGCAAAATCTTTTTTATATTCTGAAAAAAGTCGCTATCACACTTATTTATAAACTTTCAAGATTATACATCTTCTGATGAACTTAGAAAACTGCTTTAGGTCGTATAGACTGTTAATGTTATCTTATGTCATGTTATGTTATGTTACAATTTTAAAAAGCTCTTATTAATCCAAATTTTCAGGTAATAATGGAAAAGATTCAATTTAAATGATACTTGTTGTCGTAGTCGTTTTTTTAAATTTATGGCTTTCTATTATAAAATCACATAACGCTGTTTGCAAGTGGACTACTCATATGTTTACGGTTCGGCAAACCATTAGGCGATTGAGTTACATACATAGGTTTGGTTAGAAATCAAACAATAATTGCATTTCATCTTACTAATTTTCTGATATACATATAATTTATTTATTCATTTTCCGGTAACACCGTCTTATATGAATTCGCGCTCTAGCATCCATAGGACCGGGTTGTAATGGAAATAATTTTATGTTTAACAAATAAATGAAAATGTTTATAATGCAATAAATAGATCCTTACGAATTCGCCATTACCAAGGCACTACGTAACGTACGCACTTTTGTTTGCAAAACGCATTTATTTAAGTTGAAAGAAGACAAATTCCTTTGTTCGGCATTTATTCTTACTCGCTTTCTATCTTCCAAGGCGAATTCATATATTCTTATGACGAATTCATATATTCATGTGGTAGCAAGAGTATAAAAACATAAAATTACCTTATAAATTAAAAGCATAAGTATCAAATGTATGAGTAGTCCAATTCACGAAATCATTTCATCGATCTGAGTAAAAACTAAGTGCATAAACTCTATTTCGCGTTAATTGAAATCATGAAATGGTGTTCATTCATTCAGTTTCTACTCAAACGCATGA